GTGCTTGGGGCCTTCCCCGAGCAGAGGGCACAAACCCACCCACAGATGGGACCCCCGAGGCGGGTCGGGGACTAAGGGCTAGTGGGTGCAGGACCGGTGGACCCAGAGGCTGGGCATGTTCTCAGCCCCATAGCAAGTGGCCTGGCCTGAGTGAGCCTCAGGGGGACTTCCTGGGCCCGAAGGGCCTGGAGGGAAGAGCATGAGTGTGTGAATGTGAGAGTGAGAGTGTGTAAGTGGGAGAGTGGATGAGTGTGAGATTGTGTGAGTGTGTGTGAGTGAGAGTGTGAGTGTGAGATTGTGTGAATGTGAAAGAGTGAGTGTGAGATTATGTGAAAGAGTCTGTGAGTGATAGTGTGAGAGAGTGTGAGTGTGAGAGTGTGAGGGAGTGTGTGTGAGTGTGATAGTGGATGAGTGTGAGAGTCTGTGAGAGTGTGAGATTGTGTAAGTGGGAGAGTGAGTGTGAGTGTGAGATTATGTGAGTGAGAGTGTGCAAGTGATGGGAGAGTGTGAGTGAGTGTGTGTGAGTGTGTGAATGTGAAAGAGTGAGTGTGAGATTATGTGAGAGTGTGTGATAGTCTGTGAGAGAGTGTGAGTATGAGAGATTGTGAGAGAGTGTGAGATTGTGTAAGTGGGAAAGAGTGAATGTGAGATTGCATGAATATGAGGTCATATTGCGAGAGAGTGGGTTTGAGTGTGTGAGAGTGACAGAATGTACGAGAGTGTGAGTGTGAGAGCGTGAGGGAGTGTGTGAATGTGAGATTGTGAGAGTGCGTGAGAATGATAGTGTGTGGGTGTGAGAGTGAGTTTGAGTGTGTGAGAGTAAGTGAGTGAGAGATTGTGTCAGTGTGAGATTGTGAATGTGAGATTGTATGAGAGTGAGTGTGAGAGTGTGTGGGTGTGTAAGAAGTGGGTGTGTAAGAGGTGAGTTTGTGAGTGAGTGTGGGTGTGTGGTGAACATGTATATGTGGGTGTGTGTATGTTCATCTCTGTGGATGTGTGGGGGTGAGTGTGAGGTCGGGGGACAGCTGTAAATGTGTCTGTGTGTAGCAGGGTGTGAGTGTGCATGGGTGTGTTCATCACTGAGGGTGTGAGTGGGTTTGAGGGGCTTGTACCTGATTGCCTGTGTCCACCTTGCTGCCCCTCTGTGCATCTCTCTGTCTTTGTCTCTCTCCGGTCTCAGCTCTGTGTCTCTCCCCATCTGTCTCTCTATCTCTCCCCATCTCTATCTCTTATGTCTCCCAGTCCCTGTCTCTCCCCTTCTCTGTCTCTCTCTCTCTCCCCCTCTTTGTCTCTCTCTCCCTCTCTTTGTCTCTCCCTTCCTGTCTCTGTCCTCTCTGTCTCTCCCTGTCTCTGTCAGTCTCTCCCCATCCCTGTCTCTCATCTCTCCCTTCTTGTCTATCCTCCTCTCTGTTTCTGTCTCTCCTCCTCTCTGTCTCTCCCTGTCTCTTTAACTCTCCCTATCTCCTCATCTGTGTCTCTTTATCTCTAACTCTCTCTGATCTCCCCCTCTTTGTCTCTGTCTCTCCCTCTCTCAGTCTCTGTCTCTCTCCATCCCTGTCTCTGTATCTTTCTGTCTCTTTATCTCTTCCTGTCTCTGTCTCTCCTCTTCTGTCTCTCCCTGTCTCTTTATCTCTCCCTATTTCCCCTTCTCTGTCTCTCTATTTCTCCCCCTCTCTGTCCCTTTATCTCTCCTTGTCTGTCTTTCTTCCTTCCTGTCTCTGTCTCTGTCTCTGTCTCTCTCTCCATCCCTGTCTCTCATCTTTCCCTGTCTCTGTCTCTCTCTGACCTTGGTGCAGTCTCCCCTACCTGCACCCTGGGGCCATGTCCCTGGGTGTGGGATGCAGGTCCTGCCATGAGCCCTGTGGCGTGTGTCTGTCCTGGCCCACAGCCCACAGGTGATGGCTGCTGGGGTCCCAGGGCTGTGCCCACAGTCTGCCCCTGGTTGTGGGGCCTGGCACAGGTGAAGCAGGAGGGAGGGAGGGGTGTGTGGGGTGCAGGGCCCAGCCAAAGTCAGTGCCACACTCCCCACTGCTGGCCGCCCACCCAGGCCTGGCTGTGTTTGGGCACAGCCCTCAGGGGGCTGCACGCCACTGAGTCCTGCAGCTGGTGAGAGCCCTGCTGACCTGGCCCAATGTGGGGGGACAGCAGGATAAACTGTGCAGGTCCTGGAGGAACCTCGGCTGACCCTGGCTGATCCTGGAGTGACCCTGGCTGACCCTGGACTGACCCTGGCTCATCTTGGTTGACCCTGAGCTGACTTTGGCTGTCCCTGGGGTGACCCTGGACTGATCCTAGCTGACCTTGGTTGACTCTGGCTGATCCTGGTCTGAGCCCTTTTGACCCTTACAGACGCTGGCTGAACTTGGTTTGCTCTGGCAGACCCTGAGCTGACCAGTTTGACCCTGACTGACCCTGCAGACCTAGGCTGACCTTTGTCTAATCCTAGCTGATCTTGGCCTCTCTAACGCCTTACCCTGTTTGGCTGATCCTAGGCTGATGTTGGCTGATCCAGGGTGATCCCAGCTGACCCTGGGCTAAACTTGGCTGACCGTGGGCTGACTCTGGCTGACCCTGGGCTGTTGGGGGTTGGTGTGCGGGTGGGGGCTGGGGTCTTCTGCAGGCTTTGGGGGCCTCACTGTCACCAAAGGGCTCTCCTGGGTCCCAGCCCCTCACCCAGGCCCCAGGCCCATCTGGCCAGGTCTCGGTTTTGGGGTGTGATTCTCAGAACAGCCATCTCTGGCCAGGACACCTGGGCTAGGCTGTGCTCACAATGACTCAGCCGCCTTAACGGGCTATTTTGGGTGTTTCAGCAGGTGATGGGGTCAGAAGTCTTGAGACGAAAGAGAAAAACAAGAGAACACAAACACCATTGCCCCCCACCCCCAGTCATCTCCCCGCTGGGAACCCCTGTGTCTGATGACCCTCATGGTCTGGGGTCTGGCTCATGTGGCCTGGCCCTGGGTCAGTTCTCCTTCTACCGAGTCAGCCTGGCACCCACACACCCCTCTGAACCCTGGAAAGCATGAAGCCAGGCAGTAATGTCATCACTTCATCCTCCATCCAGGGCCTAGACCAAGAGGGTCTTGGGTCCCCTAGGAGGCACCCTCTTTTCCATGTAGGCCACTTCATAGAGAGGGTCAGGGCTCAGGACCCAGGACATGGGAACAGGACTCAAGATCTAAGATAAAGTGATACAGGCTGAGAACAGGGCTGCAGACTCAGAATAAGTGAGCATAAGTTCAGGACCTAGGCAGAGCATTTAGGACCAGGGCTCAGTGATCAGAACCAGGGCCCAGTGACCAGGAGCAGGGCTCAGTGATCAAGACCAGGGTCCAGTGATCAGGGCCAGGGTCCAGTTATCACATGAGCACAGAGTGACCAGAACCAGAGTTCAGTGACTGGGACAAGGGCCAGGGTTCAGTGATCAGACCAGGACCCAGTGACCAGGACCAGGGGTCAGTGACCAGGATTAGGAGCAAGTGATCAAGACCAGGGTTCACTGATCAGACCAGGACCCAGTGACCAGGACCAGGGTTTAGTGATCAGATCAGGGCCAGGGCTCAGTGATCAGGACCAGGACTCAGTGACCAGGACCAGGGCTCGGTGATCAGGACCTGGGCTCAGTGATCAGGACCAGGGCCCAGTGAGCAGGACCAGGGCTCAGTAACCAGGACCAGGGCTCGGTGACCAGGACCAGGGCCAGTGATCAGGACCTGGGCTTAGTGATCAGGACCAGGCCTCAGTGACCAGGACCAGGGCTCAGTGACCAGGATCAGGGCTCAGTGATCAGGACCAATGTTCAGTGATCAGACTAGTGCTCAGTGATCAGGACCAGTGTTCAGTGACCAGGACCAGGACTCAATGATTAAGACCAGGTCTTAGTGACCAGGACCAGGGTTCAGTGAGCAGAATAAAGACCAGGGCCTAGTGATCAGGACCAGGGCTCAATGATCAGGACCAGGACTCAGTGAGCAGGACCAGGGCTCAGTGATTAAGACCAGGTCTTAGTGACCAGGACCAGGGCTCAGTGATCAAGACCAAGCCCCAGTGATCAGGACCAGGGCCCAGTGAGCAGAATAAAGACCAGGGCCTAGTGATCAGGACCAGGGCTTAATGATCAGGACCAGGACTCAGTGAGCAGGACCAGGGCTCAGTTATTAAGACCAGGTCTTAGTGACCAGGACCAGGGCTCAGTGATTAAGACCAAGGCCAAGTGATCAGGACCAGGCTCAATGATCAGGACCAGGACTCAGTGACCAGGACCAGGGCTCAGTGACAAGGACAAGGGCTCAGTGATCAGGACTCAGGCACAGTGATCAGCACCAGGGCACAGTTACCAGAACTAGGGCTCAGTGACCAGGACCAGGGCCAGTCATCAGGACCAGGGCCCAGTGAGAAGAACAAAGACCAAGGCTCAGTAATCAGAACCAGGGCTCAGTGATCAGGACCAGTGTTCAGTGACCAGGAACATAGCTCAGTAATCAAGACCAGGGCTCAGTGACCAGGACCAGGGCCCAGTGATCAGGACCAGGGCTGAGTGACCAGAACCAGGGCTCAGTGACCAGAACCAGGGCCCAGTGACCAGGACCAGGGCTCAGTGATCAAAACCAGGGCCCAGTGATCAGGACCAGTTTTCAGTGATCAGACCAGTGCTCAGTGATCAGGACCAGTGTTCAGTGATCAGACCAGTGCTCAGTGATCAGGACCAGTGTTCAGTGACCAGGACCAGGGCTCAGTAATCAAGACCAGGGCTCAGTGACCAAGACCAAGGAGCTGATTGTAGTTTTTGGGTGGGGTCTCACTCTATATCCTCTTGGTGAAGCCCAGCTCTTGCCTGGCCCTGCAGAACTTGCAGAACTCGGTCAGGTGGGCACTAGGCAAGGGGGACCCCGTCTCCATGCCCGCTGTGACCCCCCCTTGTGTCCTGAGGCTGGCATCCTCCTCTCTGAAGCCTCCGCCCCCTCCCATCCCCCTCCCCTCATTCAGAGTCTGAGAATCTCTTCCTTGGGGATCAGTTTATTGCACCAGGAAGGCCTGTGTGGGAGAGTCGGGTGGCTTCCAAGCAGGGCTGAGCTCTGGCATCCAGCTTGGCTTCCAGGGGGCTCCTCCAGGCTCCTCCCTGCAAACACAAGAGGGGTCAGGGCCTCGGGGGAGCTCCTGAGGTGGGCGGAGTCCTTGCCAATACCCCATCCCCAGCCTGGCCTGGCTCATGGGAGACTAGACTGAATCCTGCAGTGACTGAGCCTGGGGGAGGCTGGTGCCTTGACCCTACTAGGGGAACATTTGTGCTCTTACTGCCCATGTCCTCAGTGTCTGCAAAGGGACCACCTCCCTGGGAGACCAGACTCCTAAGCTGGGGGAACAGGCAGACGCTCTCCTGAGAGCTGAGCACCCCCGCCCCCATCAGCCCATCGCTCTGCTTCCTCACCCGCCCCCACCTTTGCTTGGCTGGCTCCTTCTCAGTACTGGGGGCCCTCTTTGCCACCAGGTGGGGCCCGGATGCTGGTCACGGTCAGCGCCGTGCTGTAGAAGAGGCTCAGCAGGAAGAGAGTGAGCAGGGTGACTGTGGTGGGCCACAGGCTGGCTCCTGGGGTGTCCTCCTCCAGGTCCTCCTGTGGCGGGTCCAGCACCACCCAGGGAGGTGGCTCCCGGTAACCTGCAAGACACTGAGAGCCTGTCAGGCCTGTGCCTGCATGGGTGGGGGCCAAGCCAATGCTCTCCCCTCTCAGCACACTTGGGGTCAGGACAGAGGCAGTAGGGGTGCCCTATCTCAGGTCTGAGGCTTCCTCAGGGAGGGCGAGGTGGCTGCAACCTTTGCAGCTCTTGAGATGCCCACAGAACCCCTGTTTCTGAGGGTCTCAGGGCAACTTCTGGGGAGATACCTGGCAGGGCAGAAGGGTGGGCACTGTCTTTGCTACTCCAAAGAGAGCTCAAGCCCAAGGCCTCCTGGATCCCCAGCCCTATCTGTATTCTCAGCAAGCCCTCAGCAAGCCCTTGCTCTTTGGCTGGCCTTGGCCTGGGCCCTGAGTGGGGCCAGAGAGGAACAGATATGCCCATACCCATGGTGCTCTGAGTCGGGCCATAGATCTGGGTCTGTGATTCAGTGTGCCAAATGCTGGATGGGCATGACCAGGGTCCTCTCTTCTCTCCCAGGGAATGTAGCTGATAAGCTACAAGGAGTATAAGGGAGGCCCAGGTGAAGGCCACCAGCACAGGCAGTCCTGCTGTCCTCAGGGTCCCAGGGCATAGACCTCCCATGTTACAGTGGGATTTGGACCTGCTTGTCATATGCTGACACATCCAGTCATTCATCCATTTGCCCATCCATCCATCCCTCCATCTATCCTGCCATCCGTCCATCAGTCCATCCATCTGTCTACCCATCCACCCACCCATCCATCCATCCATCCATCCATCCATCCATCCATCCGTCCATCCTTCCATCTGTCCATCCATCCACCTGTTCATCCATCCATCTATCCAACCATCCATCCATCCCTCCATCTATCCTTCCATCCGTCCATCAGTCCATCCATCTGTCTACCCATCCACCCACCCACCCATCCATCCATCCATCCGTCCATCCATCCGTCCATCCTTCCATCTGTCCATCCATCCACCTGTTCATCCATCCATCTATCCAACCATCCATCCATCTATCCATCCTTCCCTCTGTCCATCCATCCACCCGTCCATCCATCCATCCATCCATCCATCCACCCGTCCATCCATCCATCCACCTGTCTGCTCATCTTCCCATCTGTTATATATCCTATGATCCATCCACCTGTCTGCCTGCTGTCCATCTGTTGGCTCAGTCCCTTGTCTATTGATTCTTCTGCCTTCCTTGTCTCTTTAGAAAGCTCCTCCTTTGTGCAGGTTCTGGGTCCCTTAGTGTCTGGAGCACCTGCTCTATGGCAGCTCTTCTCCAATTACCCCATTGCTCCCTCTATTGCCCTTTGGTGACTGGACCTGAGAGGGGAGCAGTGGCCAGGGTGGAGAGGGATCCCCATCTCACCCAGGCCTTGGGAGCAGAGGGAGGCAGCCAGAAGGCTGGGTTCCCTGGGGAGGCCCAGAAGGTCTGAGCCAAGAGCAGGGGCCCCGCTGCCCCCTTGTGGGAGCCCTGGTGCCAGGTGTCCCCACGGCGGTCACGGGGCTGCCTCTCTATGCTCGTCTCCCCTGGCCTCCTCCTCTCCTGCCAGGAGCCCCAAGCAGAAGCTGCAGCGGGGCCCTGGGTGGGAGGTGTCTTTTCTGACACCTCCCCACCTCTGCCCCTGCTCTGTCTATGGTTTGGGCCATACTTGGGCTCAGGAAGGGAGGTGAGACTTGAGCCTGGGGACCAGGCAGGGAGCAGGGACTGCTTGGGAGGGGCCTGTGGAATTGATCCCTGAGCTGTGCTCAGCTGGACACACAGGGAGGCCTGAGGCCAGGAGGGGCATGGGGCAGCAGGGCTGGGCCTGGAGAAAAACCAGTGGGGGCTTGGGTGGGGACTCCCCTTGCCTTCCTGGAGCTGGGCCTGCGCTGTGAACTTCCTGTACCTGCAGGGCCCTGATGTATGTGTGTGTGTGTGTGTGTGTGTGCGCACTAGTGAGTGTGAGCACGTAGGAGCATATGTGTGCATGTGTGTATGCACCTGTGTGCACACATGCACAGTGGTGTGATGCGAATGGGGAAGGCTGTGCCCAGGACGGGGGTGGTCCCCCTTATGTGTGAGTCAGTGGGGCCGTCCTGCTCTTTTGCACCTTGTACTCATCAGGGGCGGTGCAGGGGCCCTGAAGTCCAGCCCTCCTTCCCTTACCATCCCTCCCATGACTCCCACGATGGCACCAGCCTCTTCCCAGCCAGCCTGCTCTCCTCTCCCCCTTTCTAGTCCCCCCCACCTGCCCCTAGAGTCAGTTTTCTGAGATATGAAGGACCACGTCACCTGCCCATGGGAACTTCCCATGGTGCCCACTGCTCTTAGGACCCACGGGCTCGGACAGCCTCGCCTGCCTCTGCCATCTTCAGGTTTCACCCCCAGCTCAGCTTCAACTACCATGCATTACGTGCTCACACTCATGCTTACACACTCACACAAGTACACCGTGTGAAGGTATGTCGAGGTGCCAGGCCAAGAGGGGAAACTGAGGTCCTGAGAGGGTCAGGGCAGCGGGGTGTTCTTTCCTCCCTGGGCCCTGCCACCTCCCTGGCATGCCGCAGACCCCGAGGACAGACAGACAGGCGGCCAGATGGAAGCGCGGGCTGCTTTGGGCGAGCATAGAGTTTATTCAAGGGGCAGGCGGGGGCAGCTCAGTAGCAGGTGCCGTCCGCCTCCGCCATGACCACGGACACGTTGACGTGGGTGGGTTTACCCGACAGGCGGTCGATAGACTTCTGGGTGAAGTCCCGGGGCAGAGCCTCGTGGCCCACCATGCAGGAGAAGACGTCTCCCCTCTTCCAGGCCTCAGCCTCCACGCGCAGCAGGCTGGTCACGGCAAAGGTGGGCACGCTCTGGCCGGGCTCCCGCAGGGGCTTAAAGACCAGGTACTTCTCGCGGGGCAGCTTCTCGTGCCCTTGCAGCCAGAGCACCAACACCTCCTTAGGGCTGAAGCCCCGCACCAGGCACGTGAGCGTCACCAGCTCGTTGAGGGCCAGCTCCTCCGACGGCGGCGGCAGCACGTGGACCTGGGGCTGGAACAAGGGTTCTGGAGGGAAAAGAGCTAGGTCAGGAGTCTGGGTGGGGAGGAGAGAGCTCCTCTGCCCGCTGGGCACCACGTGCCTCAGTTTCTCTTTGTAAAATGTGGGTGGGAGCACACCCACACCATCTAGGGACTTGGGGGAGGAGGCAGGCTTAGGAATGTGCCTCGCAAACTGTAGGGTGCTGTGCAGCCCCTGGCTGGCAGCATCTGAGCCCACCTTTGGGTTTGGTGATGGAGACAGTTTGTGACTCTTTGAGCTCAGGGTGCTTGGCGGTGCAGGAGAAGGTCTCCTTTTGGCTCCACGGCTTGGCGCAGCCTGGCAGCACGCTGGACACGCTGTAGCAGCCGCTGGGTTCAAGCTCGGGTGCCTTCTGGAAAGGGTCGTTCCCACTCAAGGGACTCCAGGTGAAGGTGGCACCCTTGGGGTCTTTCAGGCCTCTCAGTGTGCAGGTGAGGCTGGCATTGGAGCTCAGGAGCAGGTCCTCGATGGCCGGCGGGCTCAGAGACAGGCGCGGCAGGCCACACAAGGGGCACTCACAAGAGGCTGGACAGCATTCTGGAACTGCTAGACAGGCCAGAGCAGGTTAGCGCCGCCCTCCACCCACCTATCCTCCCCTCTGTCCGGCTCCAGCCAGGGCCCCCTCCTGGCCCGTCAGCTGCCACCCGCTGGGGGCTCAGCCTGGCAGCCCACTCTTGTCTGAGGGGAGCCCCAGTGAGGGACACAGCTCCAGGCGCTGGGTCATGGGGAGAATGTGGTAGCCCCCCGCCCCTCCCCAGCTGCCCTCTGACCTATGCAGGGCACGTCCACAGACTTGCTGGGGCTGGTGTAATGCTGTACTTCACACTTCACGGATGCGTCATCTGGGCACTGGTCGGCCGACAGGGACAGCTGGCTGATCACGGTGTACAGGCCCTCGGCCTCCGAGGGGGGGTAGTTCGTGACCACCCCGCTCTTGCCCCAGGTCACCTTCACGGGCTCTGGGAAGCCCAGCGGGAAGAAGCCCTTGATCAGGCAGGCGATGACCACAGGGTCACCTGAGTCATTTTTCCGGAGGCTCAGCGGGAAGATGCTGGGGCTGGTCACAGAGCCTGCAACACAAGACGTGCTGTGAGACGGCTGGCTCTCGTGCGGCCTGGACCCCCGAGACAGTCCCGCAAGGCTGGGACGGTGCCCGCCTCTCCTTTACACCGGAGGAAACTGGCACAGAGAGGGTTAGTGACTGCCCCAAGGTCATGCAGCTCGTACGCCCTGGACCTGGGGTTGGACCCAGCCTCCTGAGTCCAGCTGCACTGTTTCTGAACACACTCCTCAGAGTTCTAGCATGTGGACCCAGACACGCTCCTTGGACAGGGCCTCTGGCACAGGCCACTCCCAGCGGAAGTTGTAGTTATTACACGCGGCTCTCCCACTGCCCAGCCGAGTCTGTGCTGCTGCTGGAGCCTCAGCTCCCGTCTGTGCGGTGGCACAGCCACGCCCTCCCCCAGGGCTTGGGGTCGTGAGGGGTGGGCACCTGGCAGGACACAGGCGATGACAGAGTGCTCTGACTTGAAGCTGAGCCTGTGCTAGGGGCTGGCTCGGCTGTGCTGGAGGTGACCCTGGGGAGGAGATGGGGCCTGTGCCTTCTGTCCCTTCTCCAACTTCCCCAGTCCCACCACCCACCACTCTCCTCCAACCCCAGCCCCTTCTTGACCTCTGTGGCCTACAGGGTTTCGAGGCCAAAGGCCCAAATCTAAATCAGTCCTTCTGGGATGTCCCGCCCGGGCAGGCTGGGCTACACAGGGCATGGTCTGCCCACTTGTACTTTCCGTTCCCATCAGGGCAACTGGTGAAGGGGGAGAGGGCATCACGGATGCACCCTGAGGCTGCCTGACCCATGGGCCCCCAAAAAACAGGGTCAACAGGCTGGCTGGAGACCAGGACCCTGAGGTGGGGCTCCATCCCGACCAACCCCTTCCCATTCACCTCACCCAGCTCAGGCCAGATCAGCCCACTTCAGCGCAACTTAACCCAGATCACCTCAGTTCAGCTCACAGGCCAGCATAGCCCAGCTCAGCTGAGTTCAGCCCAATTCAGCCCAGCTCAGCCCAGTTCTGCTCAGCTCAATCCATTTCAGCACAGCTCAGCCAAGTTCAGCTCGACTCAGCCTAGTTCAGCCCAGCCAGCCCAGCTGAGCCCAATTAGCCCAACTCAGCCAAGCTCAGCTCAGCCCAGTTCACCTCAGCTCAACCTGATTAGCCCAGCTCAGCCCAATTCAGTCAGCTCAGCCCAGCCCAGCCCAGCCCGCCCAGCTCAGCCCAGTTCAGCTTAGCACAGCTCAGCTCAGCTCAGCCCAGCCCAGCCAGCTCAGCCCAGTTCAGCTCAGCCCAGCTCAGTTAGCCCAGCTCAGCTCAGCTCAGCTCAGCCCAGTTCAGCTCAGCCCAGCCCAGCCCAGCCCAGCCCAGCTCAGTTAGCCCAGCTCAGCCCAGCTCACCCCAGCCCAGCCCAGCCCAGCTCAGTTAGCCCAGCTCAGCCCAGCCCAGCTCAGTTAGCCCAGCTCAGCCTAGCTCAGCCCAGCTCAGCCCAGCTCAGTCCAGCCCAGCCCAGCTCAGTTAGCCCAGCTCAGCCTAGCTCAGCCCAGCTCAGTCCAGCCCAGCCCAGCTCAGTTAGCCCAGCTCAGCCTAGCTCAGCCCAGCTCAGTCCAGCCCAGCCCAGCTCAGTTAGCCCAGCTCAGCCTAGCTTAGCCCAGCTCAGTCCAGCCCAGCCCAGCTCAGTTAGCCCAGCCCAGCTCAGTTAGCCCAGCTCAGTTAGCCCAGCTCAGCCCAGCTCAGCCCCATTCAGTCAGCTCAGCCCAGCCCAGCCCAGCTGAGCTCAGCGCAGTTAGCCCAGTTCAGCTCAGCCCAGCCCAGTTCAGCTCAGCTCAACCTGATTAGCCCAGTTCAGCCCAGCCCAGCTCAGCCTAGCTCAGCCCAGCTCAGCTCCGTCAGCCCAGCTCAGCCCAGCTCAGCCCAGCCCAGCGCAGTTAGCCCAGCTCTGCCTAGCTGAGCCCAGCTCAGCACAGCCCAGCCCAGCTCAGTTAGCCCAGCTCAGCTCAGTTAGCCCAGCTCAGCCTAGCTCAGCCCAGCTCAGCCCAGCCCAGCGCAGTTAGCCCAGCTCTGCCTAGCTGAGCCCAGCTCAGCACAGCCCAGCCCAGCTCAGTTAGCCCAGCTCAGCTCAGTTAGCCCAGCTCAGCCTAGCTCAGCCCAGCTCAGCCCAGCCCAGCCCAGCCCAGCTCAGTTAGCCCAGCCCAGTTCAGTTAGCCCAGCTCAGCTCAGTTAGCCCAGCTCAGCCCAGCCCAGCCCAGCCCAGCTCAGTTAGCCCAGCTCAGTTAGCCCAGCTCAGCCCAGCTGAGCTCAGTGCAGTTAGCCCAGCTCAGCCCAGTTCAGCTCAGCCCAGCCCAGTTCAGCTCAGCCTAGCCCAGTTAGTCCAGCTCAGTTCAGCCCAGCGCAGTTAGCCCAGCTCAGCCCAGTTCACCTTAGCCCAGCTCAGCTCAGTTCAGCCCAATTAGCCCAGCTCAGGCCAGTTCAGCCCAGCTCAGCTCAACTCAGCTGAGCTCAGCCCAGCTCAGCCTGATTAGCCCAGCTCAGCCCAGCGCAGTTAGCCCAGCTCAGCCCAGTTCAGCTTAGCCCAGCTCAGCTCAGCCCAATTAGCCCAGCTCAGGCCAGTTCAGCCCAGCTCAACTCAACTCAGCTGAGCTCAGCCCGATTAGCCCAGCTCAGCTCAACTCAGCTGAGCTCAGCCCAGCTCAGCCTGATTAGCCCAGCTCAGCCCAGCCCAGCCTGATTAGCCCGGCTCAGTGCAGTTAGCCCAGCTCAGCCCAGTTCAGTTTAGCTCATCCCAGTTAGCCCAGCTCAGCCTAGTTCAGCCCAGTCGGCTCAGCCCTGCTCAGCCCGGCTCAGTCCGTCTCAGCCCAGTTTCGCCCCAGTCGGCTCAGTCCAGTTCAGCCCAGTTCAGCTCAGCTCAGCCCAGTTCATCCCAGCTCAGCCCCGTTAAGTTCAGCCCCGATCACCTCCTCCCAGTTCTGCCTAAGTCCGGCATACCCCTGCCCAGGCCTAGCCTCCTGCCCTGTGGTCTCTGGGATCTCTGGTAGTCCGCCTTCTCTCTCTCTCTGTCTTGGTGTCCGTTCTCCATTCTCCTGGTCCTTGGCTGCTCCGTATGGCCTGGCTGAGAAGGAAATGAAGCCTGAATAGCATCCGGGACCCACCTGCTCAAGGCTGCTGGAGGGTCCAGCATGGCTGAGAGAGACCTCTGCCCACCTCGGCCTGGTGGCCCTGGGCTGCAGGTCCGTCTGCTCGCCTACCCCAGAGAAGCTGGAGAGGAGAGGGTGGCCCAGGCCTCCTCCAGGCCCTGCCTCAATGGCTGCGAGTCCTCAGCAGACCGCTGTCCCGCTCTGGACCATTTGCCCCCTGTGGGGGTGAGGCTGATGCTGTGAGGGGCAGGCTGGGAGGGGCTGCATGCCTGTGTCTGGCCCACAGATGGGGTCTCTCGCCCACTTCCTGCCCTGCCGGCCGCGGCCGCTTGCCTCCACGTCATGTCTGGTCTGTGGTCTGGCTGTGGTGGGGCCAGGTGTGTGTGGCCTGGGCTGTCTGACCCCCCGGGAGCATGGCCTGGCCTGAGATCATGTGGGCACAAGGGCGGGCGCCTTGGGGGGTCATGGCTCTACATAGCTGCCCATGGGGCTGGGCTGGGGGCCGAGATGCGGGCAATCAGAGGCCAAAGTTGACACAGTTAGGGGCTCAGGGACACTGAGGTAGACACGGTTCCAGAGATGGTGATGGACACTCCACCTCTGGCCCAGAGGGGAGCCTGCAGGGGCCGGCAGGGCCGGGGGCCTCGAGGAACTGGGCTTGCCCGGAAGGACCCCCAGCAAGCACGCCTCAGTAGACCTCAGGCCACAGGGTGGGGTGTGAGCGTGAGGAGCTGCTCCAGCCTGGCCATGACCAGTGGCAGCCCTTTCCCCGCCAGCCCCTTGAGCAGCTGGGGCCCCAGATGGAAGCCCCATGAGGGCGTGGGGGCCACTCTGTCTGGGAGCCTGGAGGGAGCCCTGCGGGTCAGGTGGCTGAGGTGTTACCTCCACCCGCAGCCACCCAACTCCCTGCCCAGGGCTTTCCCGCCCCATCGGCCCCACGGAGGCTGCCCCAGCTGGGGCCGCTCTGCCTGCTCCCGAGTACCCCGCCCAGCCCTCCCTGGCGCCCCCTCCAGAGGTGGCCCCTGCCTGGGCACACAGAGGCTGTTGGGCCTTTTCGTGGCTGCGTTCGTTTGTTCATTCATTTCTTCATGCACAGAGAGTCTGGAGCCAGACATGGGAACCGAGGGTTCCCTCCCAGGAAGGACAGTGTCGGGGGAGAGCAGCAGGTGCAATGGAGGTGCTGGGCCTCGGGGAGGTGGGCTGTCTCTGGGGAGCTCGGGCAGGCTGAGGATGGGGGTCAGGGCGGGTGGGGCAGGAGAGGAGGAGATGGATGGAGGGAGGGGAGCCAGGCGCCCCTGGGTGAGCAGACGGCCCTGGCCTGGCTCGAGGAACCTCTGGGGGTTTTATTGTGAAGCCCAGGATCCCCACGGTGTCACCCCTTAGGGACATTTCCTCCCAGGGCCTCTTGTCCCCATCATGGTCGCACGCCCTCCCAGTGCCAGTGTCGCCTGCATTACGACGACTGCCCCACGACTCGCCTTCTTGCCCACCCACGAGTCCTCAGGCCCTGCACCCTCCAAAGGCCCAGCGCATGCCTGCTTGAGGGAGCAGGAGGCAGCGGACACAGGACACACGATGGGGCCTCGCGGGTCGGGGTGGCACCCAGCGTGGAGGACACAGTTTGGACGCTGGGGGGATTCAGTGCCTGCCCTCTCCCTCACCTCCCCGTTCCCATTGCCCGGTGCTCCCACATGGACACCTTGCCCCACACGGTGTCACTGTGGGCACAGAGGCCCTGGACTCGGGGCAGAGGAGGGTGCGTCCATTTGGACTCGAGGGGTCACGGTAGTTGGGTGGAAGGACTCGGAACTCAAGGAAGAAGCCTGGGCTCTGAGCCTCCTGCGTGGCAGGGACTGCGCAGCGCGAGAGTCCAACTGGGCATGGAAAGAGCCGGGAGATGAGTCCTCCCCGGGCTTCTCTGGAAGGAGGAGGGACCTCTGCTTGGCCTAGGCCTGCTGGCTGGGCATGGGGGCGTCCTGGGGCCACCATGACAAAGGACCATGGCCTGATGGCTGAGAACGACAGAATTCATTCTCACGGCCTGGAGACCAGAAGTCATCGAGGTGTCGCAGGGCTGCGCTCCCTCCGGAGGCTCCAGGGGATGACCCTTCCTGCTCTTCCAGCTTCTAGGGGCCCCAGGCGTCCCTGAGCTTGTGGCCACATCACCCCTGTCTCTGCCTCTGCCTTCACACGGCCTCCTCTGTGTCTGTGCCTCTGTCCCTCTGTCCCTTATAAGGACACCAGTCACTGCATTTAGGGCCACTGGATGATCTCATCTTAAGATCCTTAACTTTAATCACATCTGCTAAGACACTTTTTCCAAAAAAGGTCAAATTCACAGGTTCCAGGCGTTAGGACGTGGACATAGCTTTTGGGGTCACCATTCTTCTCACTACGGTGGGTTAATAAGAGAAGGAAGAGAAGGAGGGATGAGGGGACCCAGAGAAGGTGGCCTCTTGCTGCTGGAGGGCGTGTGAAGCCGGGGTCATTGGCATTCCTGTTGTGGGTCCCGGAGCCTGACTGCCCGGTGTGAGTCCTGCCCTCCATCCCTGGCCCATGGCCCTGCTCTTGAGCTGCTGCTCCCCAGTGCTGGGCCTGTCGGGCCCTCCGGGTGGGTGACCATCACACCCTCCTCTGCCTGTGAGTGATGGCACCAGCTCACAGGGGGTCCTTGAGAGCTGAGCCCCTGTTGCCCTCGTTCTGGGGTCCATGGGAGGTCTCGTGATCCAGGGTGCAAGTCAGAGAAAGAAGACACTCAGCTCTGCCCTGGGGGCTCTCAGCCCCAGGAGGGGAGGAGGTGTCGGGGCCTCGACTCAGAGAAGCTCGCAGGCAGTGGGGGGATTTAGGGCCTGGTTTCCTGCGACTGTGTGTGGGTTTGTGCAAGTGTGAGAGTGTATGACAAAGTGTGAGTGTGCGTGAGTGTCCCTGAGTGTGTGACCATGTGTGTCTGTGTGTAAGCGCAGATTGGGGCCGGAGCTGTGGCCTCAGCCTTGTCCTGCAGAGATGCCCGCTCCCCTGATGCTCTGTTTAGACCAAATCCTCAGCGTCTCTGGAGAAGCCTCAGAATTGCCCACTCCTGGGTTTTCCACCCCCAACAGGAGGCCTGGTGCGAAGGTTTGACCTCGTTGTCAGAGCTCATTTCCGTCCTGGGTCTACGTCAGAGTGCATGTGATGCTGTCTCCTAGCACGGAGCGAGGAGCTGTCTGAAGGGCCATGGCCAAGAGTGGAATCTCCCATCAGAAGGGTCTGGGTGTGCGCGCGCTGGGAATGTGGCCCTGACAATCGGCCCTGACAAAAGGTCTCAGCAATTCCCATGCCCTCAGACAAGGTCGAGAGGGCCACCCTCACCCCTGGTTCCCTCCGTATTGTACAGTTTCTAATTACTGAAACATTTTCTTCCTATTATTGGCCACCTAGTTTTTCCTTTCTGTGAAGGACCCACTGCTCCCTTTTATTTCTTTTATTGATTCTTGAGCTCTCTTTCTATATGAGGGAATCATGCCCTATGCAACGTGTGTTCACATATTCTGCCCCCATTTCCAGTGGGCTTCACAAGGACGCTCGTGGCAGGTCTCTCCAACTGTGGAAACCACCTCGTTATCCTGAGGACGGAGCACAGTCCCATGGCCACCACTGTCCTTGGCCACCTGGCCATCTCACTAGGGCCTGTGGCTCCTATCTCCTCAAGGAGGGTGGCAGCCAGCCCCAGACAGCGCGTGTGTCTCGCTCAGCTCATTGGGACGTCTGGGCTGGCTGGTGGAATGGGGGTGGGGGGAGTGGGAAGGGGACCAAGGGTTGGCCTGTGTGCGTGCGCCCCGTGGGTGGACTGACTGGGGTGGGTGACTGCTGGTCCCAGAGGCTGATGCTGGCCCTGCCTTGATGACTGTGCAGCTGTGTTTCTGTGGCTGCTACACCGACCACAGAGTCAGCCCCTCGGACTGGCCCACCGGGCTTGGAATTGTTGCTTCCATGTTAGCGTGGGAGGGGGCAGTGCATCTGGGTCAGAGACCAGGCAAGATGGGCACTGAACCAGGGGTGTTTGTGGATGTCCAAGGGACTCTTGAGACGGTGGCTGGCTGGCCACTTGGGCCCTCAGGGCCCCAGAGCTGCCCCCTGCCCCTTCCTTCTCGTCCCCCGTCCATGTCCTCAGGGGGCTCGGCTCCCACCCCCATGAGACCACAGGTACCACCCTCAAAGCACGCTCAGGTGGCACAGGGTTTGTCAAAAGAAACTTTACTAAGAAACCTGGAGAGAAGGAAACGGAACTGACAAGCCAGGAGCGAGAGGTCGGACGGGCCATGGTGGATGGGTTTGGCGGCTGCTGGGCCGAGGCAGCCGCTGTGTGGACCCCATGGGAAGCTCCTTCTGCTGTGGGACCCCTCCTCCCACCCAGGGGGCCCTGCCCACAGCCCCGAACAGTCCTGGGGCCTCTCCCCAGAAGGGCTTCTCTGCCTCCCCATTCTGCAGGGACGGGGCTGGGGTGGATGGCAGGAAGGGTGGGCAGAGGGACAGGGTGTGCCCGGGGGCAGGGCACTCGAACATGGGGGCAGGGAGGGTCGGACTAAGTCTGGGGAGTGAGGCCTTGGGCTGCCTCGAACTCTGAGCAGCGGCTGGGCCATAGGCCCTCATTGTGTTTCGGGGGTTCTTCAGTCAAATGGGAGTGGGCTCGATGCCAGGGGCCTGGGAGGAGCCCAGAGTGGTCACACCCATACCCAGCCCAGGTCCCTCTGTGGAAGGGACAGATGCTATTCTGGGGCTTGTCTCAAAGTGGGGTGGGGATCGGGGCTGTGGCTGGTGGGTCCTATGGGTGCCTTGGACCTTGGGCTGAGCTGGAACCTTCTGGATTCCTGTGTGCTGGTCATTGGGTCCCTGACTTTGGCCCCTTTGGGGGTTGTCTGCTCCGCTCCTCCCACCCAGGGCAGAGCAGACAGCCTCAGGGATGCTCAGACTCTGGGAGGGAGGAGGCAAGGCCTCGTGGCTGTCTCCAGGCCTAGGATGCCGGCTGCATGACGTTCCTGTAGTCGTGGACGTTCTGGGGCTTCTCCTGCAGGATGGCGGCAAAGATCCACTTCACCTGGGAGGAGGTGCCTGTGAGGGCGGCTCTGGCCCCAGGACTCGCGGATCTCCCTCTCTCTGGGCCTCTCCCACCCCTCCGCCCAGCCCTGGAGGCCCGGTCTGTGCTCCCACCTTGAAGAGGGTGACGGTGGCGCTGTAGCTGACGCTGAGCAGGAAGAGCGCGATGAAGACAAAGAGACTGGTCCACGGCCCTTCCAGCTCCTCGCTCTCAGCGCCCTCCGCGCACAGGTCCTGCAGGTCCAGCTCTGTGGGCACCGGCAGTCAGCCTTCCCGGCCTCAGTGTGTGGCGGGAGTGGGGGCAGGCCTGGCTGCGCTCGGGGAGTGGAGGGTATCAGGGCCCCACATGCACCCGGCTCCTGATGCCCTGGTCTCGGCCAGCCCCCGCTGATGGCTGGAGTGGCAGAGCTCCCCGTGCAGCCTCCTCTGTGGCTGCTCAGAGCCGCCAGTCCTGGAGGGCTGGGGGTCTGAAGGCCCCGCATCAGCCGGTGGTTGTGTGGGAGTGGCCCGTCCTCGGCCCTCTCCTGACCCTGCCCCCAAGGTGACCCCTATTTTCTCTCCCTTTACTTCTCACAGCTTCTCCCCTGACTGCTGGTCACCCCCACTCAGCCCTGCAGGCCCCTGACCTCAGCTCAGGCTCTGCTCCCCCCCCCAACCCCCGCAATGCCCTCTGGCCCCATCTTGGCTCAGCTCCACCCTCCCCAGCCAGGGGACCCCTCCAAGCTGTACTCGGATGGCTGCCCCGCCCGGAACCCTCAGGAGGGGTCTGAGCTCTGCAGCCCCCTCACAGGACCCCGGATCATCGCATCATCGCAGCAGGTGTCTGAGGGGCTGGCCTGGCTGCCTGGACCTTGCCCAGGCCCGAAGGAGCCCAGAGCTTCCCACTGGCCCTACGCTGGCTCTGCCACTGGTCCGCAGCCTCCCGCTCCTCCTGCCCTGGGGCTGGGCGCAGGTGGGCCCGCTCTCAGGAGTGAGCCTGTGCCTGTGTGTGCGGCGCGGGACCCCATGGAGCGCGTGAGCCCGGTTCCTCTGGGCTTGTGTCTTCAGAGTGTGGGCTGGGCCTTTACTGCTTTTCGTGCAGATGCAGGGGGTGCTCCTGTGCTAGGGAGAGTGTGTGCAGGATGGAGTGTGGGGTCTGGGGGTGTCAAGATGTGCACATGGAGGTGCTTGAGTAGGGGTGGGGTGGGGCCAGCAGCCTGCTCTGTGCTGAGGTTTAGAGCAAGAGCGGGATGGAGCCCATACCCTGGGGGGTGTGTGTGTGTGTGTCCATCTGTGTGTGTCTGTGTGCATCAGTGTGTGTGTCTGTGTGTCTGTGTCTGTGTCTGTCTGTCTGTCCATGGGGTGCAGTTGGCAGGGAAGGGTTGAACTGGGGAGGCTGGGGCCACAGGAGGAAGCCGTGGGGCCCGCCAGGCTCCCAGCTGGGGTGCGAGGCCCCTCCATGTCTGTCTTGGATCCAGTGGCCCGGGTGTGACCCAGCGGAGGAAGGGCTTGGGAGTGGCCTGGGCGGGAGAGCAGGCCGTGGGAGGCTATACAAGAGTGTGTTCAAGGCACATCTGCCTGTGTGGGTGCCCGTTGTTGGTGGCACAGGGTGCTGTGGGAGTCGCTCTGTGACTTGGTGTGGGTGTGGGGCTGGTGCAGTCTGAGCGTGTGAGCGCTGGCATGAGTGGGTGTGACTATGTGTGAGGCTCACGGGAGCATGTGTGTGAGGGCCAGGCCCTTCACCAGGACCAGTTTGGGGTGAAGTGAGACCGGGAAGCAAGAGAGGGGCACTGGGTGCCAACCGCGGCCTGGTACGACCATGTGAGCAGGGGTCAGAGGGTAGGGGTGTGCCAGGGGCTCAGTGCTGGCCCCTGTGTGGGTTGGGGGCCTATCCTGGCCCATGTGCTCGGTAGGTGATGGCAGGTGGGGCCAACAGTGGTGCGGCTGTCTGGGGCCCCTGGGTGTCCAGACCTGTGGGGGTCTGACTCTGCCCATTTCTCCACCCAAAGAGCCTGTGTGTGCAGCTGGACCTGGTGACTTGGGGCTTGTCTGTGTCCAGGGGGGCCAGCAGGAGGCTGGGGGTGGAGGCTGAGGCCTCCGGGGCCTGCAGGAGAGGAAGGGGCTGTGGGCTGGGGTCTCCTGGTCCCTCCGCTGGGACCACCCTCTGGCTGTTAGGGCTCCTTTGAGTGGATGGGATGCATCGTGGGGTTGTGGGGAGGGCCCACTGGCACGATGGCGACTGTGGATGGAGCTGCCCCACCTCTCCTGCCCCGTCTCCTGGGAGACCCCTCCTCTGCACCGACACCCCCGCCCGCAGCTCCGCGCACCTCCAAGAACAGGCGCGCCCAGGGCTCTGAGCAGGCACCGGAGTGTTTATTGACAACGACAATGACCGGAGCAGGTCTGGCTGGCCCCCACCTCCACCCCAGCAGGAGGGAGCCCTGGGAGGGTGGGCAGGCGGCGGGCAGAGGGCATCATTTACCAGGGTCTTTGGACACCTCTTTCTGGAGGGTCCTTTGGGACAGCGCCTCGTGGACCACCTTGCAGGCAAATTTGTTCTTCTGCTCCCATTCCGCCCGGCTGACCTCTAGGCGGCTGAAGACGAAGAAGGCGGGGTCGGGGCCATTGGCCTTTTGGGGCCGTGTGGTGGCTTGCTGGTCTGTCTGGATTAGGACATTGTTACGCAGCCACTGTACGGAGATGTCCGCGGGGAAGAAGTTCTGGATCAGGCAGGTGAGGGTGACCTTGTCCTTGGAGCTCTGGTCCTCCTCAGGCGGCAGGAACACGTAGACCTCGGGGGACAAACGCTTGCCTACGGACAAGCATGGGGTCAGCCCAGTCTCCACCGGGGGGCCCGCCCACCTCCCTTCGGCCCGTGGCTCACCAGGGGCCTTGGCGATGGAGCGCACGACTTCCCTGGGCAGGTCTGGGTGGGACACGGTGCACTTGTAAGTCTCGCCCTCGATCCAGTCGGTGGTGTCCACAGGCAGGGTGGACGTGACCGAGAATGTCTTGTTAAATTGTTCGCTGGTGGCCAGTGTGTGCTTCTGCAGGGGCTCCCCGCTCTCCCGGGACCAGTTCAGGCTTAAGCCCTGCACGTTGGCCAGGTCCACCACCAGGCAGGTGATCTTGGGCGATTTAGAGACGTACAGGTCGAGGGGGCTGGGCGGGCTCAGGTAGACGCTCACACCGCGGGGGTCAGACTCTGTGGTTTGGGAAGAGGGCTGTGTGAGGCTGTGTCCTGCCCTCCTTTCTGAGCCCTGAGTGTCGGGTGTCTATGTTTGGGGGAGCGGGGGCTGTACCTGTGCACTTGCGGGCCTGGTCCTTAAAGATCATGTCTTTGTAAGTGACCTGGCAGGTGTAGGTGTTTTCGGACGCCCACTGGCCCTGGGTGATGTTGAGCTCGCTGTGTGTGGAGGCCAGCTTGCCCTCCTGCTTCACGAGGCCGTGTTGAGGGAACTGCTCGTCGACCTTCTGCCCGTCTATCAGCCAAACGATGTCGATGTCGCCAGGGGTGTAGTCGGAGATGAGGCACAGGAGCTGGATGGTGGTATGGGAGTCGCCGCCGGGGTCGCAGGAGGAGTGGAAGAGCTTCACGGTGGGTGGGGTGAAGGTCACGATGCATGCTGGGGGCGGTGGGGGTGGGCGCAGTGTTGGCCTCCCTGAGCCCAGGCCGCCACGTCCCAGCCCAGGCTGTCACCGGCAGTGGTGATGCCCTCCTGGCCAGCCCCCCCTTCCTCCTCTGACGGCACCCCCTGGAGGGCGGGCGGGGCCGTCCTGGCTCACCGTTGAAGGTCTTGTTGAAGGTCTCCTGGGAGTGCACCACGTTGCAGGTGAACTTCTGCTTGGCCCACTTCCCCGAGGCGACCACCCTGCTGATGGTGGTGTAGAGGCCAGAGGTTTGGTCAAAGACGGCAGGGAAGGTTATGGTGCTCCGGTTAAGGGACCCTGCATCCCAGGTCACGGTCACTGGCTCCGGGAAGTAGCCCTTGACCAGGCAGCCCAGTGTGATGTTAGTAGTCTTGGTGTCTTTGCAGCAGGCAGCCAAGGGCAAGATTAATGGGGCTTGCTTGGAGACTGTGAGGATAGAGCCGGGGTCAGTACTGGCCTTGGGACCGTTGCTCGTCACGTGCTAGGCCAATTGCTTTTGGGGCCCTGGGGCCCCTGCTTCAGCCTCAGGGGACAGACAGCTCATTTTGGGCTCTTTCCTCATCCCCTGATGCCAGCATAGATGCCCTCAGACAAACCCCTCTCCCACCAGGAGCAGCTGCTGTCACTCCCTTCAGCCAGGACTCCCCATCCTCGGCCCTGAGTGGCTGGAATGTGGGGTTCTTGAGGGGTAGAGGTGCCAGCCTGTTCCCTGAGGCTGATGCTCAGAGCCCATAGCCCCCCAGTGGGGCCTGGGGACACAGAGAGCCCCCCATAGGACTCACCAGATGGCCCCTCTGCCCCCACTCATAGACCTCCACTGGGGAGCAGGGACCCTGAGACCCCCAGGGATGGTCAAACTGTCACTTTTGCCCCCAACCACAGACCTCATTAGACCCTGGGGATCCAGAGGTCCCTACCCCCCAGGATCACTAGTGTGTCCCCTCTCCCACCCCACAGCCCTTGTGGACCTTGCTGTGGGTGGGTCCACCTGCTGCCCATGGGGCTCCTGCTCCCTGTGGCTGTGGCTCAGCTCCTCAGTCCCGTTCACCTCACCCGTCACCTGACCAGCCGGGCGTCCCTGGTTCTCTACCCTCCCCGCTGACCTCCTGGGGAGCCTCACACAGGCCCCACAGATGGAGGATGCAGACCCCACAGAGCCCATCTCAGGCCCTGCCCTACAGGCGACTCTGGTCTGCATACCCGCCTGCACGTCCCCTGGCCTCGGAGCCCCAGACGCCACCTGGTCCTGCTTCCCAGCTCAGTTCTGTCCATCCTGCCCCACTCTGCCCATCCGGTCCAGCTGAGCAGAGTCCAGATGGCCTTGTGTCAGGATGGCTGAGACCAGCGAGACCAACTGGTTCCACAAGTCCAGCCCAGCCCAGTCTAACCAGCTCTGCCTATTCCAGGCCTGCTCAGTGCCAGACAGCCCACCCTGGTCCAGGTCAGCCCAGAATACCCCATTTCAAGCCACCCAACTCATCTTAGCTCTGTCCATACAATGCAACCAAATTCATTTTAGCTTAGCTCATCTCAGCCTGCCAGCCAAGGATGGTCCACCTGTCAGTTTAGTTCAATTTAGCTTGATGGAGTTAAGCCAAGCGGGCCTCTGATAAGTGGAATACCCTGCTTGAACCAGTTGAGTCCTGCCTAGTGCAGCCCTGCCTAGCTCAGCTGCCAGGCTAAGCCCAGTTCAGCTCATCCCAGCCCAGCTCAGCCCAGTTCAGCTGAGCCTAGCCCAGCTCAGCTCAATTCAGTTAGCTCAGCCCAGCTCAGCTCAGCCCAGCCCAGCTCAGTTCACTTCAGTTAGCTGAGCCCACCTCAGGCCAGCCCAGCTCAGCTCAATTCAGTTAGCTCAGCCCAGCTCAGCTCAGCCTAGCTCATCCCAGTTCAGCTCAGCTCAGCCCAGCTCAGCCCAATTCATTAGCTCAGCTCAGCCCAGCTCATTCCAATTCAACTCAGGTCAGCTAAGTTCAGTTCAACCCATCTCAGCTTAGCCCATCTCAGCCCGGCCCAGCTCAGCTCCCTCCAGCTCAACTCAGCCCAGTTCAGCTCACTTCAGTTCAGCTCAGCTCAGCCCAGCTCAGCCCAGCTCAGCCCAATTCATTAGCTCAGCTCAGCCCAGCTCATTCCAATTCAACTCAGGTCAGCTAAGTTCAGTTCAACCCATCTCAGCTTAGCCCATCTCAGCCCGGCCCAGCTCAGCTCCCTCCAGCTCAACTCAGCCCAGTTCAGCCCACTTCAGTTCAGCCCAGCTCAGCTCAGCCTAGCCCAGCTCAGCTCACTTCAGTTAGCTCAGCCCAGCCCAGCCCAATTCAGTTAGCTCAGCCCAGCTCAGCTCAGTGCAGTTAGCCCAGCTCAGCTCACTTCAGTTAGCTCAGCCCAGCTCAGCTGAGCCTAGCCCAGCCCAGCCCAGCTCGGTTCACTTCAGTTAGCTCAGCCCAGCTCAGCTGAGCCTAGCCCAGCCCAGCTCAGCTCAATTCAGTTAGCTCAGCCCAGCTCAGTTCACTTCAGTTAGCTGAGCCCACCTCAGGCCAGCCCAGCTCAGCTCAATTCAGTTAGCTCAGCCCAGCTCAGCTCAGCCTAGCTCATCCCAGTTCAGCTCAGCTCAGCCCAGCTCAGCCCAATTCATTAGCTCAGCTCAGCCCAGCTCACTCCAATTCAACTCAGGTCAGCTAAGTTCAGTTCAAACCATCTCAGCTTAGCCCATCTCAGCCCGGCCCAGCTCAGCTCCCTCCAGCTCAACTCAGCCCAGTTCAGCTCACTTCAGTTCAGCTCAGCTCAGCCCAGCTCAGCCCAGCTCAGCCCAATTCATTAGCTCAGCTCAGCCCAGCTCATTCCAATTCAACTCAGGTCAGCTAAGTTCAGTTCAACCCATCTCAGCTTAGCCCATCTCAGCCCGGCCCAGCTCAGCTCCCTCCAGCTCAACTCAGCCCAGTTCAGCCCACTTCAGTTCAGCCCAGCTCAGCTCAGCCTAGCCCAATTCATTAGCTCAGCTCAGCCCAGCTCATTCCAATTCAACTCAGGTCAGCTAAGTTCAGTTCAACCCATCTCAGCTTAGCCCATCTCAGCCCGGCCCAACTCAGCTCCCTCCAGCTCAACTCAGCCCAGTTCAGCCCACTTCAGTTCAGCCCAGCTCAGCTCAGCCTAGCCCAGCTCAGCTCACTTCAGTTAGCTCAGCCCAGCCCAGCCCAATTCAGTTAGCTCAGCCCAGCTCAGCTCAGTGCAGTTAGCCCAGCTCAGCTCACTTCAGTTAGCTCAGCCCAGCTCAGCTGAGCCTAGCCCAGCCCAGCCCAGCTCGGTTCACTTCAGTTAGCTCAGCCCAGCTCAGCTGAGCCTAGCCCAGCCCAGCTCAGCTCAATTCAGTTAGCTCAGCCCAGCTCAGTTCACTTCAGTTAGCTGAGCCCACCTCAGGCCAGCCCAGCTCAGCTCAATTCAGTTAGCTCAGCCCAGCTCAGCTCAGCCTAGCTCATCCCAGTTCAGCTCAGCTCAGCCCAGCTCAGCTCAATTCATTAGCTCAGCTCAGCCCAGCTCATTCCAATTCAACTCAGGTCAGCTAAGTTCAGTTCAACCCATCTCAGCTTAGCCCATCTCAGCCCAGCCCAGCTCAGCTCCCTCCAGCTCAACTCAGCCCAGTTCAGCTCAGCCCAGTGCAGCTGACTTCAGTTAGCTCAGCCCAGCCCAGCCCAATTCAGTTAGCTCAGCCCAGCTCAGCTCAATTCAGTTAGCTCAGCCCAGCTCAGCTCAGCCCAGCCCAGCTCAGTTCACTTCAGTTAGCTGAGCCCACCTCAGGCCAGCCCAGCTCAGCTCACTTCAGTTAGCTCAGCCCAGCTCAGCTCAGCCCAGCTCAGCCTAGCGGGCTGAGCTAACTGAAGTGAACTGAGCTGGGCTGGGCTGGGCTGGGCTCAGCTGAGCTGGGCTGAGCTAACTGAAGTGAGCTGAGCTGGGCTGAGCTGAGCTGGGCTAACTGCACTGAGCTGAGCTGGGCTGAGCTAACTGAATTGGGCTGGGCTGGGCTGAGCTAACTGAAGTGAGCTGAGCTGGGCTAGGCTGAGCTGAGCTGGGCTGAACTGAAGTGGGCTGAACTGGGCTGAGTTGAGCTGGAGGGAGCTGAGCTGGGCCGGGCTGAGATGGGCTAAGCTGAGATGGGTTGAACTGAACTTAGCTGACCTGAGTTGAATTGGAATGAGCTGGGCTGAGCTGAGCTAATGAATTGGGCTGAGCTGGGCTGAGCTGGGCTGAGCTGAGCTGAACTGAAGTGAGCTGAACTGGGCTGAGTTGAGCTGGAGGGAGCTGAGCTGGGCCGGGCTGAGATGGGCTAAGCTGAGATGGTTTGAACTGAACTTAGCTGACCTGAGTTGAACTGGAATGAGCTGGGCTGAGCTGAGCTAATGAATTGAGCTGAGCTAGGCTGAACTGAGCTGAGCTAGGCTAGGCTGAGCTGGGCTGAGCTGAGCTGGGCTGAGCTAGGCTGAGCTGGGCTGAGCTGAGCTGAGCTGAGCTGAGCTGAGCTGGGCTGAGCTGAGCTGAGCTGGGCTGAGCTGGGCTAACTGCACTGAGCTGAGCTGGGCTAACTACACTGAGCTGAGCTGGGCTGAGCTAACTGAATTGGGCTGGGCTGGGCTGAGCTAACTGAAGTGAGCTGCACTGGGCTGAGCTGAACTGGGCTGAGTTGAGCTGGAGGGAGCTGAGCTGGGCTGGGCTGAGATGGGCTAAGCTGAGATGGGTTGAACTGAACTTAGCTGACCTGAGTTGAATTGGAATGAGCTGGGCTGAGCTGAGCTAATGAATTGAGCTGAGCTAGGCTGAACTGAGCTGAGCTAGGCTAGGCTGAGCTGGCTGAGCTGAGCTGGGCTGA